ATGATTCTTATTTAATATTATGTCTGAAAAAGAAATAAATTGTAAATTTATTTATAAAGATTATAAATTCTTTTAATATTAAATAAATTAATTCATTAGATGTCTGATAAAAGAATTAATTTTTTAAATTAAAATATAATAATAAATATTATTTTTAATGATTATTATTGGATATTAGTTTAAAAAAAATAATTAATTTGCAATTAATAGATATTTAATGATTAAATCTAATATAAATTTAATATTATATTTAATGTAAATATTGCATATTAAACTTTGATTTTAAATGAATTAATAAATATTAATAATATAAAATTATTTTTTATAATATTATTTATATAATAAGCTAATTGAAGCTAATTTTTAGGTTCATACCCTGACGATAAATTTAAATAATTTTTATATAATTATTAAATTAAATAAGTAATATGCCTGAAAAAGATATATTTTGATAAAATATTTATATATAATTTATTTATATTACTACTAAAATTAATATATTAAATAATAATAAATTTAAATATTTAAAATTAAATTGTATGAATTTTTAAAATTAATTATATACAAATTAATATATTATTTATAAATAAATAAATAAAATAATAAAATTTAATGTTTTTTAAATATATTTATCAATAATTTTATTATTAATAATTAATAATTTTATAATAAAGTGAATTATTTATGAATTTTCAATAATTTTAATAAGTAGATTATTAAATATTATAAAAAATTCAACAAAAATAGTTAGAATTTTATATTATTCAATTTCATTTTTATCATCAATTACATTTATATTTTTTTTAATTATTAATAATTATTTAAACTATTGTATAATATTCGAAATCAGCCGCTGGAATTGAATTTTAATCGAAGCTAGATCCGAATACTTGTGTTGTCTGTAGAAATTTGAAGATCAAATCGGTAAGAATCTGTCTGAGAGGAATTGATACTGATTGAGAATTCTTTCGATTGTCACTTGTTTCCAGAATTACATGCTGTTTTATGATCTGCGAAAAGTAAAATTGAAATCATGCATACGTGATTGGCGAGACCCGAATTAATTTTAAAATCGATCGACTCGGTTCAATTTCATTACAATTTGTATTGTTATCTCTAAATTCTCTGAATTCCTTCAAACTGCGTCGGGAAATTGCGCGAAGCTGCTTTTGAAATTCACGAGCGGTAAAATTGAAATTTACGTGTTACGTAATAATGGGAAATAATGGGAAATTTAATAACGAATAGAACTGGCCGGACGTTCGAAATTTAATCGATTGAAGCGGCGAAGGCAATCGTTTAATTTTATTACGCGTGTATCGTGTGTTTTTTTTTTAATCAAACTCTTCGGATCGTATTCCAATTGAAAATCAGAGAGACAGAATTGAAGTCTGACGCGTGAAATTATGTACTCACACACGCTGCATCAGGGGGAAATAATTTCATAACAATAAGATTCGACAGAAAATTTAATAATGATAAAATTTCATGGCATTCGTACGATAACGATATCTGAATTAAATTGATTGAAATAGTGGAGTTTAATTTTATTACGTTTAATTTTATTACGTGTTTTCCAAATTGTATTCCAATCGAGAATCGCGTACATTCGAAAATTTGCAAGAAATAGAATTAATAGGAGATTATTATATATTATATAATTATATAATTATAATATTATCATATAAATATAATATAATATAATGTAATATAATATAATATAATATAAATATAATTATAATAATATTATAATCATAATATATAATAATTTCTGCTATATAAAATTATAATATTATTACTAATTGCAATATTATTATAATTATATATAACACAATTGCAATATTATTATATATAACACAATTGCAATATTATTAGAATTATATATTACACAATTGCAATATTATTATAATTCTGTATTACACAATTACAATATTATTACAATTCTATATTACGCAATTGCGATATTATTATATTTATATATTACAAAATTGCAATATTATTATAATTATATATTACAGAATTGCAATATAATTATAATTATATATTACACAATTGCAATATTATTATAATTATATATAACACAATTGCAATATTATTATAATTATATATAATACAATTAAAATATTAAAATATTATTATAAATATATATAACACAGTTGCAATATTATTATAATTATATATTACACAGTTGCAATATTATTATAATTATATATTACACAGTTGCAATATTATTATATTTCTATATTACACAGTTGCAATATTATTATAATTATATATTACACAGTTGCAATATTATTATAATTATATATTACACAGTTGCAATATTATCATAATTATATATTACACAATTGCAATATTATTACAATTATATATTACACAATTGCAATATTATTATAATTATATATAACAAAATTGCAATATTATTACAATTATATATAACACAACTGCAATATTATTATATTTATGTATTACAAAATTGCAATATTATTATAATTATATACTACATAACTACAATATTATTATAATTGTATATTATGTAATAGAAATTTTTTTATCATATAATAGGAAATTTAACAATGTGAATTGTTCGCAATTGAACGCGATATTGAATTAAATTAATCGAAGTGCCGGATTAAATCATTCAATTGCATTAGGTTTACGAGTGTGGACGAGTTAATAATCCTTCAAAATTTCACTTCTCGACACTTCGCGAACGTGTCTGCTTAATTTTCTAGTAATAGAGCCATAAAAAATGGACGTTCTGGGCGACGTTTGACGAGCATTGTGGCAAACTACGGGATATGGGAGCCCTTCGGAGTAAGAAATTATACGTCGCCCGACGTAGAAACTATGTTTCCGTATTTGCATTTAAATTAAAGACGGTACTTTGCAATATTCAGCGCAACGAGCATCGCCGCACCTTCACCGTGATTCGTGCGCATCGTCGCCAAATTCTGTCAATTCGGAGACTAATTAGGAATGTTCAATTAATAACAAAACCACGAAGTTAATCGTTCAACTCTCTGTTGCACGTCTTGTGTCGAAACGTTTGGGAACGTCGAGTCTTCAACTGCAGAGAGATATGTCAAATTGGTGACCCATTTTCTTTCAAAACCACTGAAAAGCGAGAGACCACTTTCAGAACGAAATTCCAACCACCGCTACGGTAACAGCGTTGAACAAACTGATTTCATTATTTCATTCAACCCCGCAGAAACGGACGGTCGCAAGTGAATTCGAGGGAATTCGAATTATTTAAAAATTTGGAACCTCTTCTTGTTCCTTTCACCGCGTGGGAATGATTCTTTCGAGCTCTTTCTCATTCGATATGCTCGACACGCTCGCCGTAAAAAAGTTGATCGAATTTCCCTCTATGAATCCCGAGAATATGGGTCAAAATGGGGAAAAGAGAAATAGGATTTCTCTACGGAAGCTCTTTTTCTCTTTTTTTTTTTTTTCTTTTCGAGCAACGATCATTCGAATTGATCGATTATTTGGAAACTAAAACAAACGCGGTTTGTTAAGCGCGTTAAATGCCATTGTGCAGCAGTGAAATTCAAATTTTTCATTTGGCAAACTGACTTTCAGAACAATCATTAAGAATTGATCAAAGATTTCAGTTGACATTTCAAGGAACTGGAAAAGATTAAATAACACTTTGCACAACGAAGTTTCCATAGTGTTAACACTAGTAATCTAGCATCAATTTTATTATAATAATATATTTTAGTAAAACAATTTTATTATATTAAATACACATAAATTACAATTTTACTATAATACATAAATTACAATTTTATCATAATACATAAATTACAATTTTATTATAATACACATAAATTACAATTTTATTATAATACACATAAATTACAATTTTACTATAATACATAAATTACAATTTTATTATAATACAACGAAGTGTCCATAGTGTTAATAGTAATCTAGCATCAATTTTATTATAAAAATATATTTTAGTAAAACACAATTTTACAATATTTATAAAATATATTATAATACACATAAATTACAATTTTACTATAATACATAAATTACAATTTGTATTATAATATATTTTAGCAGAATGCACGTGCAATTTTATTATTTACAAATAGGGAGGAAAGTTAGAAATAAAGCGTTCCAAGAGAGTATTCTCAAAAACTGAAAGACAATCCATTGTAATTAAAAACGCATGAAAAATCGAGGATCTAATAATTCCTTCTATTACTTCTCCGCCTTTCAGCTTCTCGAAAAGATCGAACTTTGTTGGATTTAATTTCAATTCTCAATTTTGCTGATTAAATGAAATTTTATTCGATCGAAAAATATTCCTTTCATCGTCTTTCCGGTATGTACTCCCTTCATCGATCTGCGCTCTCGAAACAACCTGAATACGTACATATAAATATAAATATAAATATATGATATATTATATATATAACCTTTATATATATATATATATATAATATATCATATATGAAACACGCTGCATATACACGGTGTACACGCATATGACGAAGCATGTAACGAGTGCATCCGTGCATAAGGCATATTATACATTACATATGTATATACATATGTATATACGTGCAACCTCTTAATTATAAGGAAAGAAGCGCGACTCGGAGTGTGACGGGCTGCTGCTGCTGCGAAATCAATCTTTTTAATCGTGGTTCATTGCTTTTCCAGCGACCTTGAGAAGTACTTCGAATATCAGGGTCAGGACTACATTTGCTCGCGTCCCGATGACAACGGAATGCACTCTTGCAGCAACCTGCCGCCGCTCAAGTTCGGTGAGTGCATCTTCGATATTTCTCCCACTGCTTTTCGGATCTTTCCTCTCTCTCTCTCTCTCTCTCTCTCTCTCTCTCTCTCTCTCTCTCTCAAATATCTCCATCTCGTGCGACGAAACACTCTATAGCGTGTTTTTCTCGTGAAGGTTGAACACTGGAACTACCAGTCAAAATGACTGGTTTGACAACTTTATCTTAAAACTCCTACGTTATATATACAGATGATTGAAAAAGAAATATACAATTTGTTCACCTTGCACAATGCAAAATATTTTTAGTAAATATTAATATTTTTGTTAATTAATAAATATTTTTAAAGTACGAGATATGGTATAGTACAGTAGATATAGTGTAATACAATATATTTCTTAATTAATAGATATTTTTAAAGTACGAGATATAGTATAGTACAATATTTTTATTAATTAATGAATATTAATATTTTTATTAATTAATAAATATTTTTATAGTACGAGATACAGTATAGTACAATATTTTTATTAATTAATAAACATTTTTAAAGTACGAGATATAGTACAGTAGACAGAGTATAGTACAATATTTTTATTAATTAATAAACACTTTCAAAGTACTATACAGAGAGAGATATAATACAGTACAGTAGACATAGTATAGTACAATATTTTTATTAGTTAATAAACATTTTTAAAGCACGAGATATAGTACAGTACAGTAGACATAGTATAGTACAATATTTTTATTAATTAATAAACATTTTTGAAGTACGAGATATAGTACAGTACAGTAGACATAGTATAGTGCAATATTTTTATTAATTAATAAACATTTTTAAAGTACGAGATATAGTACTGTACAGTAGAGTACAATATTTTTATTAATTAATAAATATTTTTAAAGTACGAGATATAGTACAGTA